CCCTGGGTAGAGTGTTGTGACATCACAGCTCACAGCAACCTCCAACTCCTGGGCTCAAGCGATTCTCCTGCCTCTGCCTCCCAAGTAGCTGGGACTACAGGAGCTTGCCACAGCGCCTGGCTATTTTTTGGTTGCAGCCATAATTGTTGTTTGGCGGGCCGGGCTGAATTGGAACCCGCCAGCTCAGGTGTATGTGGCTGGTGCCTTAGCCACTTGAACCACTGTTGCAGAGCCTATCTACTGAAATTTTTTAAAAAATTTAATTTAAAAGAAAGCTATCTTTATGTAATAGCACTAGCTTGTTGCGTACTGATATAATTTGGACAAGGAAAACCCTTACCTTAGTGCTAAAATTTTATTAATACATCTCAGTGTGAATACCTGATTTACCCGGAGGCCATGTGGGCCATAAGGTCCACCACCCTCTTGCTGTAGCCAAATTCATTATCATACCAGGCAATGAGTTTGACAAAGTGGTAGTTGAGGGCAATGCCAGCCCCAGGAACAAAGGTAGAAGAATGGGTATCACTGTTGGAATGGGAGATGACCTGGTGCTTGGTATAGCCCAGAGGGCCTTGAGGGGGCCCTCTAATGCCTGCTTCCCTACCTTCTTGACATCACTGTATTTGGCAGCCTTCTTCAGATGGCAGGTGAGATCCATGACCCACACATTGGCAGTGGGGACACAGAAGGCCATGCCAGTGAGCTTTCCATTCAGTTCAGGGATGACCTTGCCCACACCTTGACTACACCAGTTGAGGCAAGGATGATGTTCTTGAGAGCCCCATGACCATCATGCCACAACTTCCCAGAAGGGCCATCCACAGTCTTCTGGGTGGTAGTGATGGCACGGACTATGGTCCTGAGTACCTCCATGATGCCAAGGGGGCTAAGCAGTTGGTGTTGTAGGGGGCATTGCTGACAATGCTGAGGCTGTTTTTGCACTTCTCATGGTTTACACCCATCACAGACATGGCATCAACAGAAGGGGCAGAGATGATGACCCACCCTTTTGGCACCCCCTGTAGGTGAGCCCCAGCCTTCTCCATGGTGGTGAAGACATCAGTGAATTCCACAATGTAGTCAATGCCTGCCTCACCCCATTTGATTTTGGTGGAATCTTGCTCTTAGAAGATGGTTATGGGATTTCCATTGATAACAAGCTTCCCGTTCTCAGCCTTGACTGTGCCATGGGTGGAATCATACGGGAACATGTAGACCATGTAGTTGAGGTCAATGCAGGGGTCACTGATGGCAACAATATCTACTTTGCCAAAGCAGCCCTGGTGACCAGGTGTTCAATACGACCAAAGTCGTTTCTTCCGAGACCTTCATTTTCACCATGGTGCCTTGGGATGCAAATGGGAGGACCAGGGAGCCCAGATATTTTTGTAAAAGTCTGAAGTTAAACTTTTGTATAACATGTGAATTTTGACCTGACATGTTTAAGTTAGCAAAAATTCTTCAGAGTTTGTATAAGATGATGTGCACCCTAATCCCACCCACCACAGATCCAGACACTGAAACTGAAAATGACTGTTTCTTCATTTTACAGTTTTATTCTTGATTTCCTTCTAAAAAGATAAGAAAATTGTGAAGCTGATTCATACCTACAGATTAAGTACCACAATGACATGACAGAAGTAAATAGTGCCATAGTTACATAACACAAATAAGTATAGCTATGCATTCATGAGCTGATTGTACTAACTTCCATAGAATTTTAAGAATGAGCCCATTTGAATATATGGATACCCCCTTACCTCGCAAAATAAAAGCAAGCATTTTCTATTTAAAAATGTTTATTTTTCTGTAAAACCTCCTAGGGGTCAAGTAAAAAAAATACACAAGGGCAGTGCCTGTGGCTCAAAGGAGTAGGGCACTGGCCCCATATACCAGAGATGGTGGGTTCAAACCCGGCCCCGGCCAAAAACTGCAAAAAAAAGAAAAGAAAAAGAAAAATACACAAATTCAAAGCATTACTAAATCATGGAACAAAGAAGTATCTGAGGTAGAAGTCAAGCAATATAATCCACAACATTTTTATGTATTTCTAGCAACTGTAACATCTCTCTAGTAAAATCTATTAAAAATAAAGTCTCAAGTTCCAAAAAATGAATAATCCAGTCTCTAAAATTGTATGAAAAACTATGACTAACAGAACACACACAAACTTTTGTCATGTTAACAAAGAAAATGGTTTTACTAAAAACATTTCTCTCAGTAGTAACCATAAGGAGGCCCTTGGTTGTAACCATACTGTCCATACTGGTGGGGATAGTAGGGTTCTTGTCTGTGCGATGGGTAATTATTACCCCAGGGTCGTCCATGCCATTGATTGGATCGATTGTCGCTTGGCCACCCCCGTCTGCTATCCCCACCTCTAAACTGTCGGTCTTGTAACCTACAATAACAAGACAAAAGGTTTTTAAACTATCCTTACTAAAAAAAACACATTACAGATCTATTCCAGTGCCTTTGGTTTCCTAATCTAATGCACAATAAATGAAAGTAAAAAACCATTTCACCATAGAACATTATGGCATTATTCAAAACTTTCCTAATATATTTAATATTACACTGGTTAGTATTTAGTATTACAATGACTACACTTCACAGAGAAATGAGCAGACTACAACAAGCCCAAACCAATAGGATAGTACTAAATTAAACCGGAATCTATTCAATTATGCAAAAGCAGTATGGTATTTATTCCTCTATTATGAATTATTAAATAGAAGTAATTCCATTTTATTAACTTCTTTCTAAATTAAAACCAAAACAATAGCTTCTTTATAGAATCAGATACAGTTTTAGAAGACTCTTAGTTTTAAAGTATATTTGTAAAGAAAATATTGTTCTATAGAAAGAACATTAAAAAAAATCAATACACACACACATAATTGAACATCATGTGAAAGAATATACAGTGCTCGGTGGCACCTGTGGCTCAAAGGAGTAAAGTGCTGGCCCCATATGCCAGAGGTGGCGGGTTCAAACCCAGCCGTGGCCCAAAAAAAAAAATATATATATATACACACACACACAAACACAGTGCTGATGAAGTATTTATCAAGCACTCATTATGTACCAGGCTCTGTTACTAGGTATTAGCAATACCATGCTGAAAACACAGTTACTGGCCTTATGTTCCAGCAGATTAAAGCTATCCTCACCCAGATCAACCATCTGCATTTATTCGTCCAAAGCAATACATACCGATTGCCTCTATTTCTTTGGCTTCCACCAGCTCTGCTATTCCATTCCTCAACAATTGGAGGGGACCCAGGAGGGCGTTTCAGGTATTCCTGGTATTCTTTGTCATCTTTTGTGAATCTATTGGCAAACATCTCTTCAAAATTTGAAACTGCTTCAGAAATGTCAGTCATTCTGAAATTGTGTATAGTTTTAAAGATACTTCTATTAGATATTTTTTAAAAATTAATACAATCTTACCAGATAATGAAAATCCAAGAAGTAAATAATTTTAAGCAGGATATCCACAGAAGTCTTTGTGTACTTCTCCAACTTAAGACAGATTTTAGACATTCAATTCAACATTTTTTGACTACTATATAGCAGGCCTTGTGCCAACTAAGAACCTGGGATATGAACAGTAATATACCGTGTACTATGCCCAAAAAGAGCTCCCAGTCCAGTTGAAGAGATAAATACAGCATAAATATAAAAGGAGAAGCAGAAGAGGATATCAGCAAATGAGGCTGGGGAGGTAAGCAGGGGTCAAATTGTGAAAAACTTTGTATTTGATAAAAACAATTTTGTACTTTTTCTGGTAGTCATTCGGGAGTTTAAAAGATCAAATTTACTACTTAGAAGGACTGCTTTTTTAACAAAGCTATGATAATACATTAGTAAGATTAGATGAAAGGCAGATTATTGCATAATGTAGATAACATGCTGAAGCCTTAATCTTAGCAGGGATTGCAAGAATAGTTTTAAAAAAAATTCCAAGAGAAATTAATCACTGACTAGATGTGAGAGTAGAAGAGAGAATAAAGAATTAACTCTCAGGGTACAAGTGAATCTTTCTAAGAGTAGATTGTGAATGTTCTAAAACAATAACTAAGAAAATGACATGAAAGCTATGTTAACCAGTTTAATGGAAGTGTTTTGGATTGTGTGCGAAAACCCCACACTGTACCCAGAAGTACATTAATGTACATAGTTACCATTCAATAAAAAAAATAATAATAATAAAAAAGAATTAACTCTCAGCCTTCTGGCACAAATTATGGTGGCACAGGAACAACAGGAATACAGGTGGGTAAGGCTAAACACCTTTGAAGTTTGAAGTTACCTTGGTACAAACATCCAAATGTTGAGTCAGTTCACAGTTAACTATTTGAGACTGAGAAATGGTTGAAGAATATGGGAGACACTGGCAATTTTGTTGGTGATTAATCCTGTAAGAATGGGTGAAATTCCTCAGAAACAATGGGGAATAAGAAGAGGATTACATGCCGTACGCCTAGATCTCAGTGGTTAGGGCACCAGCCACATGTTCTGGGGGCTGGTGGGTTCAAACCTAGCCTAGGGCCTGCTGGGCATTGTGGCGGGTGCCTGTAGTTCCAGCTACTAGGGAGGTTGAGGCAAGAAGATCGCTTGAGCCCTAGAATTTGAGGTTGCTGTGAGCTATGACCCCATTGCACTCTACAGAGGGTGACAAAGTGAGACTCTGTCTCAGTAAAAAAATAAAATAAAATGAAGAGTATCACAGTGTATAGCCACACAATCCTGAACATCTCATCTGATTTCAAAAATTAAGCAGGTGGGGCCTACTTAGTACTTGGATAGGAACAGCATCTGATCTGGTGTTGTGATCAATGAACAGAATCCTGGAAAACATAAAACATTTAAAGAACAACCAAGGGTGGCGCCTGTGGCTCAAAGGAGTAGGGCACTGGCCCCATATGCTGGAAGTGGCAGGTTCAAACCCAGCCCTGGCCAAAAAAAAAGAATAAAAAATAAAAAACTAAAAGAACAACCAAAAAATAAGAAGCTGGGTGCAGTGGCTCATGCCAGCTTTGAGAGGTCAAGGCAGGAGGATCATCTGATGCTAGGAATTCAACACTGCACTGAGCAACATATCATGTTTCCCTGAAAATAAGACACTGTCTTATATTTATTTTTTCTCAAGAAGACACACTAGGGCTTATTTTCAGGGGATGTCTTCCTCTCCATGCCAAAATGCATGCTGTGGCTATGCAGATATGCTGCATAGCCACGCCCATCACTAGGTCTTATTATTGGGGTAGGGCTTATATTTAACAAATGCATAGAAATCCTGCTAGGGCTTATTTTTTGGGTAGGTCTTATTTTAGGGGAAACATAGTAGCTAGACCCCAACTCTACAAAAAATTTAAAAATTAGCCAGGCATGGTGGCATGTGTCTGTAGTCCTAGCTACTCAGGAGGCTGAAGCAGGAGGATGACTTAGGCCTCGGAGTTTGTGGCTGCAGTGACGTATGATACTATACCATTGGACTTGGGCCTAGACAACAAAATGAGACCCTGTCTCTTAAAAAAGAAAAGGGGGGGGGCTGGAAGGAGCGAAGAGATAAGAGATTAAGCAGCTGACATTGGTTAACGGAGACATGCCAACAGATAACAGGCAAACCAGAACGGGTTATTATAGAAGGCAATAGAATAAAGAGTTAATAGTGGCAAATGACACTGTAATACAAAAAACCAAAAAGAACTAACTGTATTTAGTCATTAGGAGATGATTATTTTAGAGTAATAGGGATTGAAGCAGAACTTAAATCTGAAAAGTACCTGGAAGGTAAAGAAGTAGAAATCTATACTGAGTGTAGACTAACTGTTCAAGAAGTTTTGATTAAAACAGGAGCAAAAAGGTAGGGCAGTAGCTAAGGGATTACTGAGAGATTACTTCTTATTTTAATATATGAAGTTGTTTATAAAAGGGAAAAAAAGAACCAATAAAAGGGAAAAATTGAAAATACAGAAGATACAGGAAAACAAGAATGTCATCATAAGAAATGTCTGATTTCAAATCAAAAGTTTACTGTATCTCAAACAAGACGCAGTACAATTAATCAAAGTATTGACACAGTTTTGCCATCTTAATAGTAGCTTGGCAGCAGTGAAGAAGCCTTGGCTATGAAATCCAAAAAAACATTTTCCATAGCTAGTTCAGAACTGCATATTTTTCCTTGCAAGAAGTGGTCCAAAGCCTGGAAGAGGTAGTCAAAGGGTGCAAGGTCTGATGAATACAGTCAATGACAGACTTTCCAAGTCCAGTTTTTATAGCATTGTTTGGGTGACAGTGCTGTCTTGCAGGAGGACTGATCTGTCTCTGTTGACTAATGTCAGCTGCTTAATCATAAGCATCCTCTCATTATGCCATCCAGTTGGTTGCAGTAGACATCTCCTATAATCAACTGGCTGGGTTTCATTAAGCAAATAATACCGGCACTGGACTGCTAGACACTATTAGCTATTTTTGATTAATGCTCAGTTCTGGATTGTGTTTTGGCACTTCATTTTTATACAGTCATTGAGCTAAACACTTGCAATTGTCAAAAAGAATCCATTTTTGAGGCCAGGCATGGTGGCTCATGCCTGTAATCCTAGCACTCTGGGAGGCCAAGGCTGGTGGACTGCCTGAGTTCAGGAGTTCAAGACCAGCCTAAGCAAGAGGGAGACCTCAACTCTACTAAAAATAGAAAAAAATACCTGGGCATCATTGTAGGAACCTGTAGTACCTGCTGCTCAGGATGCTGAAGGCAAGAGAATAGCTTGAGCCCAGAGTCTGAGGTTGTTGTGAGCTACCACACCATCACATGCTGGCCTAGGGCCACAGAGTGAGACTGGCTCAAAAAAAAAAAAAAAAAAAATCTCAGGGTAGGCACGGTGGCTCACCTCTGTAATCCTAGCACTCTAGAGGCTGAGGTGGGTGGACTGCCTGAGTTCAATAGGTTTAAGGCCAGCCTGAGCCAGAGTTGAGACCCCATCTCTAAAAGGCTGGGCATTGTGGCAGGCACCTATAGTCCTACCTACTTGGGAGGCTAAAGCAAGAATCACTTGAGCCCAAGAGTTTGAGGTTGCAGTGAGCTATGATGCCAGGGCACTCTACTAAGCAAAACAAAGTGAGACTGTCTCAAAAGAAAAAAAAAAAAATCTAAAGCCAAAACATGCATTTGAAAGAATGAAGATGTACCTTCACAATAAAAACAAAACAAGAAATGTCAAAGTCAAATGTCAGAAATTATCAACTCTCAAACTTAGTACATAAGGAAATCAGGGGCGGCACCTAGGCTCAAGGAGTAGGGTGCTGGCCCCATATACCAGAGATGGTGGGTTTAAACTCAGCCTCGACATTTCATACTTAACAACCTTAATAAAAAGTCATTTACATGCATAGCTATTTAAGTTTAGGATAATTATAATGATTCCTGTGTTCTTACTCCAGATCCTGGGAGAAAATTAAAATTACTGTAGATAAGATGTTGTCTAATGGTTGTAAAGACCAAAATCTGTATCAGCTGGATTTTCCAGGCCAATTACAGATTCACTCAACAGGCAGTATTTCTTCACCTATATTCTCAGAGAACTCTCAACCCCTAGGAAAAGATTTGGCTTCAACTCCAACAAGCCTAATCCTTGGGAAGCTGGGGGAAAAAAAGAGTTCACTTCTTTTAATCTCACCCAAAACCTGGAAGTCAGCCCTAGCAATATTCTGTAGGTAGCCCCCACCTCTTAGTTTTCCTTAACTGAGCACTGGTCAGCATTCCCATTTCCTACCTTTCTCAACCCAACCCTCATCTTTCTGCTCTTTGCCTCAGGACTCTTAAAGCCTGTTTTATGAGGGGGGCATATTTAATATCATGCTGAAACTTTTTTCTTTTTTGAGACAGAGTCTCAAGCTGTCGCCCTGGGTAGAGTGCCATGATGTCATAGCGCACAGCAACTTCCAACTTGGCTCAAGTGAGCCTCTTGCCTCAGTTTTTCTATTTTTGGTAGAGACTGGGTCTTGCTTTTGCTCAGACTGGTTTTGAACTAGTCAGCTCAAGCAATCCTCCTGCCTTGGCCTCCCCGAGTGCTTGGATTACAGGTGTGAGCCACTGCACCCGGTCCCTGCTGAAACTTTAAAACCAATTCTCACCCTCTTACCTGACATCCTCAAATTATTTTCTTCCTATATTTAACTTCTAATAAAAAGCTTTTAACAAAGAACTTGGAAGACAGCATCTTCATTAGTTTTTTCTTCAACCCCTCAAAACATATGCAAATATTTATAATATTAATAATTATAATACCACCCCAATGCCAACAAAATTAAAATATATTGTTGTTTGGATGCCAGAAACAAAATCTTGTCGTCCTACCTTTCAAGCTACTGCCCTCTTAGCATGTTTATCAAATACTAGTCTCCCAGTGTGTCTGGGATTAGCAAACTAGCTCAAATTCTTAAATCCAAGGAACGAGTTTAAAGTAAATTCTGCTGAGCCTAGATTTCTACAGTGATCACAAAAATCACAAGATGACCCATGTCTAATCCAAACAGTTAGTAAAAATAATAAGGCAAGGAACACGTGCTACTTTATTTTTTACATTCTCCCACGACTCTACCAACACACAAGTGAACACAAATATCACCTTTATTGTGACTCATGAGAACAGAATTTATTTATTTATTTTTTTACAATTTTATTTTTATTTATTTTTTTAAGACAGAGCCTCAAGCTATCCCCCTGGGTAGAGTACCATGGCGTCACAGCTCACAGCAACCTCCAACTCCTGGGCTCAAGCGAGTCTCCTGCCTCAGCCTCCCAAGTAGCTGGGATTGCAGGCGCCCGCCACGATTCCCGGCTATTTTTTGGTTGCAGCGGTCGCTGTTGTTTGGAGGGCCCAGGCTGGATTCGAACCCGCCAGCTCAGGTGTATGTGGCTGGCGCCTTAGCCGTTTGAGCCACAGGCGCCGAGCCCAGAACAGAATTTAAATCAAATTTTCATTGACACAAGCTTTGCTTACCTCAAGAATTTGAGGCAGCTATAATGTTTAATGTTTGGTTTAAATATGTGGGAGAAAAAATAAAAACCCTTGACTTAATTTAAGGAAACCCTCAAAAAGTGTGTGTGCTGGGAATGGGTGCTATAAGGCCCTTAAAGAAAGAGTTCAAGTAAAAGTGCTCTAAAGACTTCCAAAGTCAGTGTTCCAAAGACAGCCTGGGCTCACAGTCAGGAGCGATACAGGATTCGTCCCCTGGGGCTTCAAAACCAACAAGTTAGTTCAAGCCCGATAATCACTTCACAAGGTTATGTGTTTTTTTTTTTTTTAAAGGTAAGCTTTGCATATCTGTAATCAAACACCACTAATTCACCCACCACAAATAAAACCGCATTCTATTTGCAGTCGACTAACCCGGGTAATAACTAAGCAGCACAGGCAGCCGTTCCAGGAGCCGCGCTCCGAGAACAGACGGAGACAACAACAGAAAACAGGGTCGTTTCTCCGTCCTCGCTCAGAGCACACCACCGCTTGTTTACCAAGGCCTGGCAGATCTGCTCCCTTCTAAGGCACAGCCAATCTCCAGGGAAGCAAATCGTAGGCCGTGGGAGGTAAATCGCCCCTGGTCTCGCCCAGGGCGGACCACCGCACGAACCGAGGACGCGCCGTCGGCCATTCGGCTCAGCCCGCCCTGCTCCCCCGTCTCCGTCGTCCCAGCGACTCACCCGCCGAGGGCTGTGTCTGTGCAGCTCGGGCTGGGCCCAGCCAACGACACGAGAACCACGCACAGCCTCCCGCCCCGACACAGCCAAACTCCAGACCTCCACTGTCCTCCACCACAACGCGCCACGGCCTCGGGAAGCCGACAACCACCTGATTTCCGCTTCCGGCGGAGAGAGCCTGCGCCCCAGTGAAGTCTCGCGATATCCGCCACACGGCGTTTCTTCAAACGCTGGCGGAAGGCGCGGCGCTCCGGCAAGCGTAGTCAGGTAGGGGCTGAAAGCGGGTGATGCCCTTGGTGCGCTCCCAGCCTACACGGTGACTGGGCGAGCAAAGGTGTTGCCGTCAGGACGTCCCTTTGACTGAGAGCCTGTGACGCGTAGCGGTGGAAGTCCGGCCGCCTGCTCCTGGAGTCTGGGGAATGTGAGGTGAGAACAGGTGGTGAGGCGCAGACGCGACGGGATACTTTTAGCGATGCTACAAGTTTTGCAGCCCGGCAGTAAGACGTTTTCTGCGTGTTTTTGCAGAAACATTCTGTGTCTGCACCGTCTTCAGTCAACGTCTAGATACCTCTAAAAGTCTTGGCCGTTTATTCCAGTATGCTCGACAAGTATATAAACACCTAATATCCCAAATATAACTTGATCTCTTCCCTCCCAAATTACTCCCCAGACGGTTACCTCTCTCTGTTATTACAACGAGCGTGGAAACTTTGACGTCTTAATTTGATCCCTTGCCTTTCCTGGAGCCATACAGTTGCCAGGTTATGTACCCTACGATGATTCTGGCATCCATCCACTGTCCTTACCCACTGTCTCCACCTCAACAGAACTCTCATTGGCATCGCCTGAGCAGTGGAAATCCGGTACTTTTCTCACTGATAACCTATCTCTAGCTAGCGTCACTCCGCCAGCCTTGCTACATGTAGCTGCTATAGGTTTAGTCTTCTTGAAGCACAGCTGTGATCCAGACTATTCAGTGGCTGTTGGCTGTAGATTAAAGGCATGTTTAGTAATTTGGATTCAAAACTCTCTTTTCTGCTGTTTCCCTTCCATGGTAAGCCAGACCTTGTGAAGTAGTTCATGCATGAACCTGTTAGGTTTCTATAGCTTGTTCATGTCTCTTGCTTGGAATACCTGTTCATCTCTGGAAGTTGAAATTCTATCCATTCGTTAAAGTTTTACAAAGTGACATCTTCATCTAGAAATATTTTTTCCTTATACTGAATGTCCATCATACTTCCTGAACTTCATGTATTCATTTATTACGACTTTCTAACCTTGAACTAAAATGATGTGCAAGTCCTTCCCCTTACTAAAATTTAAACTGAGCTTTATCTAATTCATTTCTCCATTTTGGAGTGTATAACATTGTGCTTTGTATAAAGTAAGCATTCGGTAAATATTGTGGAACAAATGGAACCATGACTGTTCCAAGTCATGTTTTAGGAGCATGAACCTAGCAAGAGTGTATATGATGGTATGGATGGGGATAATATATGAGAGTCTTGGTGTTGGGTAGTAAAGGTAAGAGGTGTAAAGACCAAGGGTTATAGCCCACCAAGTTCTGTTGATTGTACACAGCCATAATCCTGGCATCCATCCATTCTCCTTACCCACTGCCTTATCAAAACTCTCATTCCTCCCCCCCAACAGTCTGTTCAGTAATTGAATAGTACTATCCTTAGTAACCAAGTGCATGATGGGAGAAAAAGACTGATAGGAATCCAGGTAGGTTCCAATTCTTTGAGCCTGGAAAATTGGGACTGAAAAGGGATAGCCTTAAGGTAAACTGGTGTTAAGGCAACATAAACTCAGAGCTAAAATCATCTGCAAATTTTGATATGATAGTTAAATATTCAAGAGAATATTTCTAGGGGGTTGGTTGGAAATTTAGGACTAAAGCTGAGGAAAGAGAGGCTGTGCTGAAATACGTAAATATGTGAGTCATCCAAGAAGAAACAATAGTGGAAATCATTTATGTACCAATGGTCTGTTACTTTTAAGATGGTACAACTTAAGGATTTTTGAGTTTACAGTGGTATCAAAGTGATGCGTATTTAGTAGTAGCTGTACTTTGAGTACCCTTATAATTTTTCTTTCAGTATGCTAATCAGTAAATTACATGTGATATTCAGCACTTCATTATGGAACAGCCTTTGTGTTAGATGATTTTGCCCAATATTTCGAGCACATTTAAGGTAAGCTCAAGGTAGGTTAGGTATATTAAAGGCATTAAATACAGCTTAACAATATTTTCAACTTACAATAGGCTTATTTAGATGTAACCCTATCATAAGTCAGGGAGCATCTGTATATGATCTTTTCAATGGCGAAAGTATTTAGAAGAGAAGGCCAAGGCCTATACTTCAACAAATACTCATATTTAGGAGGCAAGAACAGGAAATATAAAACTTGAGAAGGAGTAGTATAACAATTGAAAAACTAAGAAAAATGCTTCCCCACATAGCATCAGGAGTGAGGGAGAATATTTGGAAATTGTTTGACAATGCTTGACGTGATGCTCAGAGGAAATGCTCACTGGAGCATTTCAGATTTCAGATTTTCAGATTAGGGATACTCAACTGTCACTTCTTTTTGTTAAATTCATATATGGCACTTAAGAGTACCGAGGTTTCTGAGAGTTTTTGTGAAGAACTCTAGGTATTCCAATTATTCCAGTTAACTTTGAAATGAGATTATTCTTGCCCATGTTTTCTCATACTCTGAAAAATAATCTGTTTCATGAAAGGGAATTTTCTAGACAACTGACACTAGATTTTAAACATCAAAGCTTTTTCTTTTTTTTTGGCCGGGGCCAGGTTTGAACCTGCGACCTCCGGTATATGGGGCTGGTGCCCTACTCCTTGAGCCACAGGTGCTGCCTGCATCAAAGCTTTTTCATTGGACATTTTTTTTTAGACAGAATCTCACTTTGTTGCCCTCTGTAGAGTGCTGTGGGGGTCACAGCTCACAACAACCTCAAACTCTTGGGCTCGAGTGATTCTCTTGCCTCACCCTCCCAAGTAGCTGGGACTATAGGCACCCACCACAACTCCCTGCTAGTTTTTCTATTTTTAGTAGAGACAGGGTCTTGCTGTTGCTCAGCTGGTCTCAAACTGAGCTCAGGTGATCAACTGGCCTCAGCCTCAGCCTCCCAGAGTGCTAGAATTACAGGCGTGAGCCACTGTGCCCAGCCATGATTGGCTGCTTTTGTTTGTTTTTTTTGAGATGAAGTCTTGTTCTATTGCCCAAACTGGAGTGCACAGATCATAACCCACTGCAGCCATGAACTTCTGGCTCAAGTGGTCCTGCTGCTTCAGCCTCCTGAGTAGCTGAGACTCAGGTGCAAACCACTATGCCCCACTTTTTTTTTTCTTTTATAGACAAGTCTCACTTGATTGCCCTTGGTAGAGTGCTGTAGCATCACAGCTCACAGTAACCTCCAACTTTTGGGCTTAGGCGATGCTCTTGCCTCAGTCTCCTGAGTAGCTTGAACTATAGGCGCCCGCCCGCCACAACGCCCAGCTATATTTTGTTGCAGTTTGGCTGGGGCTGGGTTCAAACCCACCACCCTTGGTATATGGGGCCGGCGCCCTACTTACTGAGCCACAGGAGCCACCCTATGCACCACTATTTTTAAAATTTTTTGTTGAGACAGGGTCTCATTATGTGGCCCAGGCTTGTCTTGAACTACTAGCCTCAAACACTCCTTCCACATTTGTCCCCAGAGTGCTGGCACTACAGGCATGACTTTTGGCCAAGATTGCCTTTTGATAGATGATTTTGATAGTTGACTTCTATTATCACTCTCCACATTGGGTATTAGTGTCTCATCTCAGTGATTCATCTTCTAGCACCTTTATAAATTGACCTAATTTCACCCATAATTGATTTTTAAAGTTTTTTTGAGGAATAAATGAAGTTTTTTGTAGAAAGCTCAGGTGTGAAAATGCTATATCATGAAATTTATGTGTTTGGAATTTTCTTTTCTTTTCTTTTTCTTTTTTTTTTTTTTTTAATTTATTTTTTGAGACAGTCTCACTCTGTTGCCCAGGCTGAAGTGGTAAGGCTTTAACCTTGCTCACAGAAACCTCACACTTCTGAGCTCAAGTGATCCTCCTACCTCAGCCTCCTGAGTAGCTGGCACACAGGTACCTGCCAGGATGCCTGGCTAATTTATCCATTTTTCAGTAGAGAGGGTCACACTTTAGTTCAGGCTGGTCTCAAACTCCCGAGCTCAGGTGATCCTCTGCCTCGGCCTCCCAGAGTGCTAGGATTACACTAGTAGTGGTAGATACTTTGTTTGACCTAGGAAGACCTACTTTTTTTAAGTTGTGGTAAAATAAATAAATATGTGAATATATCATGAAATATTCCATTTTAACCATTTTTAAGTGCATAGTTCAGTGACATTAAGTACATTCACACTGTTGTGCAACCATCACCATCCTCCATCTCCAGAACTTTTTTCATCTCCCCAAAATGAAATTCCATATCCATTAAGCAGTAACTCTCTATTCTCCTCTCACCCCAAACCCCTAGCAAGCACCATTCTCCTTTCTATCTGTATGAGTTTGACTACTCTAGGCACTTTGTGTGAGTGGAATCATATAGTATACATCTTTGTGACTGTCTTAGTTCACTTGGCATAAATTTGTCACAGTTCATCCATATTGTCATGGGTCAGAATTTTCTTCCTTTTTAAGGCTGAGTAATATTCCATTGTATATTTTACCATATTTTGTTTCCATCTATCCACTGGTGGACACTCAGTTGCTTCCTCCTTTTGGCTGTTGTGAATAATGCTTCTGTGAACATATACCTAGAAATGGATTTGCTGGATCATATAGTAATTCTAATTTTTTTGAGGAACCACCATAGTTTTTTAGAGTACCTGTGCCATTTTGCTTTCCACCAGCAGTGCCAAATTATCCATAACTTTAAACTTTAGTTTGACCCAGTGATCTGGAGGCAAAGCACACCAGCAGAAGGTCCTGGGGAATCCTGGCTTCAAAAGAGCTCTGCTTTCAGTGGCTATTTGTTATCTTGGACAATAGCCATGTTAAAGAAGGAAAACCAAAGATCACAAGGTTGTATAATTTATCCAAGGTAAATGGCAGTGTAGGGCTGGAGTCAGGTCTGTGGTACTTCAGAAAGCTTTGTGTTTTCCACAGTGAAATACTTTTCTCCTTCTCATTCCCTATTCCCAAATCTTAAGTCACATTAGACAAGTTGTTATTCCTTATGCCTGCTAAGTACATGTCTTCATGTCCCTTGCTCTTATTACTCTTTCAGCCTAGAATGCCCCTTCTCCCATCTTCACATGATTCTACTCACACTCAAAGTTCCTCTCAATCCATGAAGCCTCTCCTGATTTCCCCCAAATAAAGTCAACCATTCTCTCCTCTGTGTGTCTCCAACATTAT